TTGAAAGGATAAACCATTAGCCAGACTCATCAAGAAACAAAGAGAGAGGACCCAAAAAAAATGAAATCAGAAACAAAAGTGGAGAAGTAACCACAGGAAGGATTGTAAGAAAATACTATGAACAACTCTATGCCAACAAGCTGGACAATGTGGATGAAATTGACAAATTCCGAGAAAAATAAAATCTCCAAAAACTGGATCAGGAGGAATCAGAAAACCTGAATAGTCCAATAACAACTGATGAAATAGAAGCTATAATCAAAAAACTCCCACCAAAAAAAAGGTCCGGATGGCTTCACAGGGGAGATTTTTCCAAACATTCAAAGAAGAACTAACACCTATACTCCTCAAACTTTTCAGAAAATCCAAGAGGAAGGAACACTTCCAAACTCTTTTGGAAGGCCAGCATTATCTTAATTCCAAAACCAGATAAAGACACTACAAAGAAAGAGAATTACAGGTCAATATCCCTGATGAACGCAGATGCTAAAATCCTCAAAAAATATTAGCAAATCGCATCCAGCAATATATTAAAAAGATCATACACCATGATCGAGTGGGACTTATTCCAGGGATGCAAGGCTGGTACAATATCTGTATATGAATAAACGTGATACATCACATAAACATTGAAAAACAAAAATCACACAATCATATCAATAGACACGTAAAAAGCATTTGACAAAATCCAACACCCATTTTTGATAAAAACTCTCAGCAAAATAGGAATAGAGGGAGCATATCTCAACATTATAAAGGCCATATATGACAAACCTATAGCCAACATCATCCTCAATGGGCAAAAACTAAAACCATTTCCCCTAAGAACAGGAACAAGACAGGGATGTCCACTTTCACCACTCCTGTTTAACATAGTACTGGAAGTGCTAGCCATAGCAATCACACAAGAAGAAGAAATAAAAGGCATTCAAATTGGAAAAGAAGAAGTAAAACTGTCATTATTCACATATGACATGATATTGTACATAGAAAACCATAGTGACTCCATCAAAAAACTACACTTAATAAATGAATTTGGCAATGTAGCAGGATACAAAATTAACACCCTGAAATCTATGGCTTTTTTATATACCAATAATGAACTCACAGAAAGAGAAACTAAAAAAACAATCCCATTTACCATTACAATAAAAAAAATTAAGATACCTAGGAATAAACTTAATTAAGGAGGTAAATGATCTATACTTGGAAAACTACAGGCCGTTGAAAAAAGATAGAAGAAAATATAAACCAATGGAAGAATATACCGTGTTCATGGATTGGTAGAATCAACATCATTAAAATGTCCATACTACCCAAAGCAATCTATAGATTCAATGTACTCCCCATTAAGATACCAACAGAATATTTCACAGACCTAGAACAAACTCTCCAAAAATTCATCTGAAATAAAAAAAGACCACGAATAGCTGCAGCAATCTTGAGAAAGAAGAACAAAGTTGGAGGGATCACAATACAAGATATCAAGCTGTATTACAAAGCCACTGTTCAAAAAACTGCCTGGTACTGACACAAGAACAGACAGACCAATGGAACAGAACAGGGAACCCGGAAGTCCACCAAGCCATTATGCTCAATTAATATTTGACAAAGGAGGCAAGAGCATACAATGGAGTCAAGACAGTCTCTTCAATAAATGGTGTTGGGAAAATTGGACAG